CTTTTAAAAGATGAATGCAGTCATCTGATGAGTGAATTATTCCATTTTGTTTTGTATCTCATCTCTCTTCATAGTGTTTTGTGTTCATTCATTCTTCCTCCATCCTATCTCTCCTTCTTTCTCAAAGTATCATTATCCTTTCAGATTCTCTAGCATATTTTATTTATTTGGGGACAGTACTGGGATTTAAACTCAGGGCCTTGAGATTGCTAGGCAGTAGCTCTACCACTTGAGCCAGACCTCCAGCCCTTTTTTTGCCTTAGTTATTTTTTCAGATAGGGTTCTGTGCTTTTGCCCAGGGCTTGCCGCAGACCTCGATCCTCCTACCTCTACCTCCCACATAGATGGGATTATAGAAATGCACTGCCATGCCTGGCTCACTAGTTTTTTGCCTGGGCTGTCTGCGATTCTCCTAACTCTGCCTCCCCAAGTAGCTGGGGTTACAGCTGTGAGATGTCACACCTGGTCCTAGCATAATTATTAATATCTTCTTTTTCCCTTCTCCCTGTAACAAGGGCTTATATGAATAGTAAACCTGGCCACCTGTATTTGATGTCAGTGAAAATGTCAATATGGCATAGACTAGGGATAGGCAAATGGCAGCACAAGGGCCATTCCTGGTTGCTGTGGATGAGTGTATATTGAGGTACAGCCACACCATTGGTTGTGGATTGCCTGTGGCCCCTTAAGTCACTTCCACAATATCAGTGAGTAGTTGTGACAGAGGCCATATGGCCCCCAAGCCATCCGGGGCTGTAAGAGAAAGTTGGCCAGCTTCTGCCCCAGAATGGCAGCTACTTGCCTGGTCTCTGTTGAGATGGCAGGCCCCAGGTCTTCCAGAGCTGAAGAAGCCTTCTGTTAGCCTAGCTGTCATTTCTGTGCAGGGAATCAGTCTTCCTCTACTGTCATTTCAGATTTTCTCCTAGGCACTGGTGCTCCAAAGGCAAGAGTATCTACACGATGCTTTGATTGTACTTGACCCTGTGCTATTTCAATCTAGACTCATGTCTTTTTCCCTTTCTGGAAAGTTCTCACCCATTACTCTTTCATACTAACTCCATCTTCCTTATTCTCTCACGTGGTGATCCCTGTTAGGTAACACTAACCTCTTCACCCTGTTTTCTATGTCTCTTCATGTATCATTCACAAGCTCCATCTCTTTGCCTCTCTTGGCTGTACTGTGGGAGATTTTCTCAGGTCAGTGATCCACTTTATTAATTCCACCTTCAGCTGTATCTTACCAGTTAACTATTGTAAGTTTCATTTTCAATGTGTGCATTTTTCCTTTTAAAAGGCTCTCTGTGGTTCTTTTTTCAAATTCACCTGTTCTCTTGCAAACTATTTTATTTTATTATCATAGTCTACCCCTTATTAAATATTAAAAAGAATTCTCACTTTTGCAGCCTCATAGTTTAAAAAATTTTTTTTAAATTTCAGATTATACAGAAAAGTTCAAAGAAAGTACAGTTTTGATATACCTGGATTCATTTCTCCTTAACATCTGACATGTGATGCTATGTCTGCCACAACCAGGGAGCTGATTTTGGTGCATTACTTATTAACTACACCCCATGGTGTATTCAGATTTCATTTGCTTTCCCTAACGTACTCTTTCCTAATGTCCCCAGGGCTCTATCCAGGGCAGCATTCTACATTCAGTCTCACACTTTGTTTTTGACGATCTTGACAGTGTTGAGGAGCTGGTTGGGTATTTTGTGCCTCAGTTTGGGTTTGTCTGATGTCTTCCTCACATAGCTGTTTTATAGCTCTAGTTCTGTACTTGCAATATCTCCTTCATGGTAGCTTGTTTGTCTTTATTTTATTTTTTATCTTGGTGTAATCTTATCTATATCTGAGTTCCCCATCTCTTACCCCTGGTATCTTGTGTGTCTGGTTAATGGATCTCAGAGTTTTAGGTTTGCTCTCACAAAAAGTCTAAGCAAAGTTCTCGATGGGTCTGGGAGGTTTTGCTCTATGCTCTAAGTCACAGCAGTTCCTGTTTCACACTTCCCTATTCAGCCCTGGGGACATCACGATTTCACCAGCATCTCATTCTGACTGCCTTCTCCTCTCTCTGTAAAGACAGTAGTGGGAGTGGACACTTCTGAAAGCAAAAGTTTCATCCAGGAATTGCTGGTGATGTAAGGCAAGACCCTGCCTCACTGGGCAGCCACCCCTGCAACCCTTCTTCTGTTTCCACAAGGCCTGCCTCCCTGGATCCCGCACATGATCCTGACTCAAACACCCCAGAGTGAGGAGACAACTGGAAGCCAGGTCTTTCCACCTGACCGCTCTGCTTAAACAGGGACCACACTGCCCCAACCACATGCTTGGTGGGGGCCTCCCTCAGCCTGCAGGATATGACCTCTGCCTGTGCAGCCCACGGTGCAGCAGGTGTTTTCCTCATGGCAGCCTGAGGGGAAATTCTCACTTGCTGCTCCCTCTGCTCCCCCTCCTCCCAGGTGTGCAGCACTGCAGCAGGAGAGGAAAACAGACAGGAAGAGCAGGCCTTGCCTGGGGGCCGCTCTGTGTTTATCCCCCAAGAGTAAGACTGTGGGCATTCAGAAGGGAAGAAGCCAATCTGCAAACCCCAGGTGGGTTTCTAAGTGGGGAAATAGAGCTGAAGGGTAGGGTCTGCAGATGGTGCTTTCCTGTCCACAGCCTTCTCTGCAAGGACCTCGCTGCACCCCAGATACTCTGGACATGCAGTGATGGAGATGGCAGCACAGCCCCAAGGGTCAACTTTTCCCCCAGAAGCAGACACCCTGGGTGAGCAGGCTGTAAGGGCCTGGGAAAGCCCCAGTGATTCCTGGGTCACAGACAGGTTTACAAAGCTGAAGCTACAGAGGCCCCCTTGGAGGGGCTGTTGGCAGTTCATATAACTTAGAGAACCTGCTAGGTGGAGAGAAGGGAGGAACTGGGCTAGAAGTGTTTTTGCTCCACTTCCTACAGAAGTATTTATCCAGATTCACAGACAGTGCAGGTGACGGCACACAGGGATATTAGAGTTGACATTGAGATGTCATGGGTGCCCAAGTCAGAGCCTGGCCTGCGAGTGCAATGCCCGGGGCACAGCTGTCACTTGCAGACACAGCCCTTGTGGAGCGCGTGCAGTTTCCCATGCTCCGGGATGGCCTGGCCTTTGAGTGCTTATAAGGTCAGCCCCTCTGGGCTCTCACTCCCTGACACTGTCTGGCTTTAGAAGGTCCTCGTGGTCTAATGAAGTCAAGATCAAAATGGCTATGCCAAGAGGCAGAGTCAAGCTCACAACTCCCCAAACCCTGTGCTAGCAGAGTGGCCTGCAGGGTGCTTTGAGTCATAATTAGCCCTTGTTTCTGGTGACATTTCTTAAATTCTAAAGGCCCTTCCTTCCCCATCTGCTACCTCACTGATTTTCACAACAGAACATCATTTTCATGATGGTGCTGAGGATAAGGAGGAAATGGCTCAGGAGTCTGAGAGACTGAAGAAGAGGGGATTTGAGAACAGCCTAGAACACGCCAGCCTCCCCACACACTTGGAGCTTCATGGAGCAGACATATCTAACACGTACTCTCAGAATTCAGTAACCTAGTGACTGGCAGTGACTTCATTCAACATTTGGCTGGGCAAATAGATGCGAGGGGGTGATTAAAACACAGTCCTCAAGGGACATAAAGGACCCTCAGTGGCCCATGTAAGTCCAGCAGTCAGGAAATGATGGAAGAGAGGTTATGTGAGAAATACATTCCTGGAAACCAACAGACACAGGGCTTATCATCAAAGACGTGGTTCCACCATTTGCTTGCTGTGGAAAGCAGCACGATTTTGGATTGCACCAGTCTGAAGACAGCAGAATAAGCAAAATGCCATTGAGCCATCTGACTTAAAATTCAAGTACTTTAGGCAGTACATGTGCCATCTAAGGCCACCTCAGTCCCCACCATTCCCAACCATTTCCACTCATGTTTGTTGCCCCTCAGTTCCCCAAGGGCATTTAAGTTTGTGGCCTTTGGATGGAAGGCTTTGTTCTGCTGGCCTGTGGCTTGGAGGCTGCAGCAACTGTGGCTTTGTGGGCCCAGGAGGACCACGGAGAGCTCCCCTGCATGACATCAAAAGGACATCCTGTATTCCCAAGGTTGTAACCTCTGTTTTATCGCAAGGGAAGTAGGAGAGAGAAAGAATTTACAAGGCCTGATGGTTGTGTGTGGAAGGTGAGAGAAAATGAGCCGGGATGGGGACAGTGAGTTTGTCTTGGTCAGCTGGGTACAAGGTGGTGGCAGGGCACCCTGGAGGAGGGGCAGATACTATAGGACAGCAGATGGAGACAGTAAGCTCAATTCTGGAAATGCTGAGTGTGGGGATCCTGTGAAATGGCCACATGGAGACAACCAGGAGGAGCCAGCCACATAGGACCAAGTTCAGGAGAAAAGTCTAGGCTGGAGATGCACATGGGTGTCACCAGCAAAGAAATGGGAAATAAGACATGGAGAGCATGTGAAGTGAGAAGAAAAGGTGCTCTAGAGATGGAACCCCAGGGACAGCAGCTTTGAAGGATAGGTCACAGGGTGAGAAACAGAGAAGGGGACCTTGTGGGAAGCAGCTCAAAGATGGGAGTACCGGAGAGTCTAGTGATTTGAGCAGAGAGGAATTCAAAAGGAGAGAGCTGTGAAGAGCTTCAGTTGCTGCCTTGTGATTCTCGTTCTCTCTCGTTCTCTCTCTCTCTCTCTCTCTCTCTCTCACCTTTGTACATTTAACATGCGTAGAGTGCAGCATGGGATTATATTCACATTTCAGGACAGTTCCTGGTTACAGAGCTTCTTTGAACAACTCGGTGCAAACCTGCTTGTTTGATGGAGCACCTCTCTCAGGTGTGACCTTCACCTGATCGCATGCCCACCTTCGTCTCAGCCCCATGGGGCTGGGGGTGCTTAACAATCACACCTCTGTAGTTCACCCAGGTTAATGAGCACCCCTAGGTGCAGGGCCACGCCCTGGGTGCCTACCAGGTGCTGGCTTACCTGGCACTCTCAAAGGTGGCAGATGCTGTCTTTTCTACTGCCCCAAATCCGACTCCAACAGCAAGGCCTTCTGAAAGAGACACAAAGATAATGCGAGAGTTAGGAACAACTTTCCCATAAAGGAACACCACCATCCCCATTGCTGTCTCAAGTAAGATTGCGTTAGGCTACATTAACGGAACATCATTGTGACAGGAACTTAAGCCAGGGCCACAACTACAGCCCCAGGGGCCAAATCTGCCTGCAAGTTAAGAATGGTTTTTTGTATTTTTAAAGTTTTTGTTTTGTTTTGTTTTTAAATTTATGAGGCAAGTCTCACTACATAGCCTTGGTTGACCTCACACTCATTATGTAGCCCAGGCTGGCCTTAAACTCAAAATCCTTCTGGTTTCATTCTTCCTAGTGCTGGGATTATAGGTGTGAACCACTGTTTTTATTTTTTGCATTTTTAAATAGTTAAGAAAACATCAACGAAAGGATAGTTATTTCATGTCACATGAAAATTATATTACATTCAGATTTTAGAGTCAGTAAATAAAGTTTTATTGGCACATAGTCATGCTCGCTAGTGGATGATTTATTTCTAGCTGATTTCATGCTACATAAACAGAACTGAGTAGTTGTGACAGAGTTGTGTGTCCTGAAACCCACAACAGGTATTATCTGGCCCTTTACAGAAAGACTCTTGACTTAACCCATAGGGCTTGGCTTATTAGCTCACCAAGTGAACTTAACAAGGCCGACCCAGAACCCAAAGACACTGTTGGAGACACAGGCTTCTTAGGGATTTTCTGCTCCAGTTATATCTTTAAGGTTGCAAAGTGACTACGCCCTTCCATCCACTTCATCTATGTCCCAGACAAGAAGAAAGTGGAAAGATAAAACCTTTTCTCATGGAACCTTTGTCTCAGTACTTTGGAAGGGAAGCATTTCCTGGCAGACCTTCCCTTGCATCCCCTGGGTCAGAACAGCAACCAGTGTCCACCAGGCCAACACCAGCCCAAGGGCCAGAATACTGAGACTTGGTGACAGCTCTGGGCCAGTCTCAACCCCTCCCTGGGGGTAGGGAAGGACTCGCCTTGACAACTTCCTCAGCTCTCCATATGCCACCTGAATAACCAGAGGCCTTATCAGGAGGATTGTGGCAGGTGACTAGGTCGCCAACACCAGAACCCCTCTGGGATGGCGTGGCTGTAGTCCAGCTTGAAGCTTGGGAGGGGTGACTCACAGGTCCTGTCCAGGGATGCTCCTGAGTGAGAGGGGCTCGTCTACTTTCAAGACTCACTGTCTCTTTGATTTCCCTCATTTCTTTCCTCACTTCCTGATCGGGTTGAGCAGGCCAAGGACCGGGGACTGTAGAGCTGAGTTCTGAAACACACGGGGACAAGGAGGCTGCTGGGCTCATTCTGTGTGAAGGAGAAAGAGCTCAGCTGGGACCCAGTCTGGCTCAGCATGAGACCACTATGGGGCTTACAGCCCAAAGACCCTGCTATGGGATAATGGGTTTCTTTCTGCCTCACTTTACCCTTTGTGCTTGCTTTCCTTTGGGGACCTCATGAGGTAGCTGTGGTCACCATCAGCTGCTGGTTGAGAATTTGGCTTTCTCATTCCTCATCAAATAACTTCCCACATTTCTTATACCAACAACCCTGGACTGCAGCCTTCTAGGCTGCAGAGAAGAATTGGAATTCCCAGAGAACAGATAAGTATGACTCTTGGGCCACTTCCAGCTTCTGAAGCAATGTGTCAGGGGGAGCTGTATGTATGGTGTACACAACAGCAGCCCACAGGGAAGTCCCTCAAACGCTCCCTCTAACAAAGTCTGAGGCCAAAGGAGGCCAGCAAGTCAGCACTACCAGAGGGATAAACTGTACAATCAAGGTTTTAAAACTTTGCTTTTGTTTTTCTGTGTCCACCTGATGTCAATTCATTTTTTTTTTTCTTAAGGCCTCAAGAATGCTGGCAAGTGCTTTACTACTGGAGCCATGCTTCTGTTTTGCTTTTGAGACAGGGTTTCTCTAACTTTGTCTGGGTTGGCCTCAAACTTGCCATTTTCTTGCCTTGTCCTCCAGAGTAGCTGGAATCACAGGCATGAACCATCATGTCCACCTCTGATACAAAGTCTTAATAAAGGCTGTACATCTGCAGAGTCCTCATTTGTAAAGTCTTCCCACTAGGGTGACTCTGGATTCCAAATTGGGCCTTGTTTGAAGATCCTAGTCTCTCTAGGGTGATTTCCCTTGGGAATGGGGGCTGGTGGACTTTTGCATGCTAAGCATGGGAGATGTACTTCATATATGAACTATAGTCAGGAACTGTCACCTCCTGGCTCCAGAGGGGAGAGGAAAAGGATGGCCTGAGATCCCGTGTGGGTTCTGATTCTGAGGTCCACAGTTTCTGTTCTCTGCAATGGCCTGCTGGTCCCCTTCTCTTCCAGAAATTCCCTCCAGAGAGGAGGCCATGCCTACAGGAAGAAGTCTTAATGGTCAGTATTTTAAGATTTGCCTGATGTATCTGACTGGCTTCAAGAAGAGATGGACAAGCATGAGATCCCATGTGAGCACCTGATATTGGCAGGAGCTGGATTTCAGGGCAGGCTGTGATGGAAATGTCTGAGGCAGCCTCGCTCTGTGCAGTGTGGCCCCAAGGGACATCTGAGCTGCTGCCTCCCACATGCAAGAAATCCAGTGTTTACAAACCTGCTGTCATCAGCCTTGTTTTGCACCAACACAGCGGAGACCACAGATCACTCCCAGGAGTAACAGCAGGTCTCCAGGGCAAAGAAAGGTCTGTGCCTGGGACCCCTGGCCCGCTGGGGACAACAGACGTGCAGTGCGTCTCCTTCCCTTTCAAGAAATTTGTTCTCTGAGGCCAACAGCTGGTTGGCTTTTTGGTGAAGTTTTCCTCTAATTAGTCATTTTAATGTAAATGATAGTGCAATCCAGAGCAATAGGACCTATGTTAATTAGCACAGTAACCCCATGAATTGTTTAGCAAGCAGACCAGCACTTTGACATCTAAATGCTCACAATGGCTTTGGGATGGGCCAAAGGACCTGCTCAGAGCCACACAGCTGTGGAGGGACAGAGCCAAACCTTGAATCTCAGCCTCCATTCTGATCCCTTCCCTCAAGTGCCCTTTGACATCTAGTTTGCTGATTAGGCTTGTGGCTTTCCCCCAGGTGTGACATGGCCCTGGGGATAGCAAGTGCTGGTCTCTGCATCTTTCCATCCTGCAAAGTGAATGCTTTGTCCCCCTGACTAGCACTGCACCCAAGCCAGGCCACAGCGAGAGACTCCTTCACAAAGGAACATTCTACAGTAGTTTGCAAAAATGCACAGGGTGCTCTCTGTCCTGCTGGCCCATGGAGGAACCACAAACCACTGCCTCAAAAGCACAGGTCCACCTGGAGTAAGCAAGGGGAAGAGGAAGAAGAAGTAACCAGGGAGAGAATGTATTTGTTACTGTGCTCAAAGACGGAATGTGGTACCTGGGAATGAAACAAATGAGAAGCTAAGATAAATTACACATATGGAAAGAACATCAATTGGAGAAGCAAAGCAGACACTGAGATCAACAGATGGAAGAAGAAACCCACTGGGTGGAAAGGAAGGGCATTAAAAAGCCGACTGGAGCTCCTACCCCAGGTGTTCCACCAAAAGTGCAAATGAGGAAGGTAATTAAGACAGGAAAACGATGTGCCTGGAATATCAATAGTAAGCGGTTGTCACTTTCCACAGCTCCTGCTGTTAGCTCGGGTGCCAAGACAGGGAAAAATAAACTGCTGGGCCTGGCCTGCAAAGGCCAGCTAGTCACAGAGGGACGCCATCTCCAGGACAAACTGAGTACCAAGGAGGAAACTGCTGTGGCCACCTCAGCTGTGCCTTGGGTCTGCAAGAGGGGACGCGTGCCTCTTGCCATGGCCCTAGGCCTCCTGCATCTCCACTGAGGAAAAGGATAACATGGAGCCTTTTGTTGAGACACACCTGGCCTCAGATCCTGGTCTGTTACTTAAGGTTCTTGCAAAAATGGAAAGAGGGTGGCATGGCTTTGCTTACAGAGTGGTGGCATTAACTCTGGCAAGACCAGAGTTTCTTACTCTTGACACTTTGGGGACAATCCTGGGCTCAGAGATGCTCACTGTTGACACTTTGAATGTCCTTGGTGGCATCATCCCTGGTCTTTACCCATGAGATGCCAGTAGCATTTCCTTTCCCAGTTGTGACAATTAAGATGTCTCCAGAAGTTGCCAAATGTCCTCTGGAGGTAGGTAGGGGAAGACCAAAACTTACAAGAGTTCAGAAACATTGGCCTAGAAGCTGGACACAGTGGCCCATGTCTGTAATCCTGGCTACTAGGGAAGCAGAGACCAGGAGGATCCATGTTTGAGGTCAACCTCAGGAAAAAAGTCTTTGAAACCCCATGTCAACCAATGGCTGAGTGTGGTGACATGCACCTGTCATCCCAGCATTGTGGGGAAGCACAAATGGAAGGATCATGGTCCAAGTCAGCCTGGGCATAAAGTGAGACCCTATCTCAAAAAATAACTAATGCAAGCAGGTCCTGGTGGCTCATACCTATAATCCTAGCTCCGTGGGAGACTGAGATCAGAAGAGTCAAAGTTCAAGGCCAGCCTGGGTAAACAGTTAGAGAGACCCTATCTCAACCAATAGTTAGGCATAGTGGCATGTGCCTGTCACTCTAGCTACATAGGAAGCTGAAATTGGGAGGATCATGGTTCCAGGCCAGCCTGGGCAAAAATTTTGCAAGACTCCACCTCAATGGAAAAAGCTGGCTATGGTGGTACGCACCTGTCATCCCAGCTACTGCTGGGAGCATAAAATAGAAGGATCACAGTCCAGGCTGGCCCAGGCAAAAAAGCAAGCCCTATTTCACAAGTAACAAGAGCAAAATGGGTTGGAAGGTATGGTTCAAGCAGTAGAGTGCCTGCCTAGTAAGTTCAAGGCCCTGAATTCAAACCCCAGTTCTGCAAAAAAACAAAACAAAGCAAACACTGGCCTGGATCATGGTAGACATTCCACTCACATTAATTTTCCTCTCTGCCTTCTAATGGGCAACACCTATGAAAAATTTAAAATATTCTAGAACTCTCTTAGAGTTTAAGTAGATTGTAGAAAAA